GCCGCCGATCAGATTTATCAACAGCAGTCGTTGTCGGGCCCGGCCTCCTAAAAGTTCGGGACTAGGCTTAAGCTTGTCGAAACCGGACGGCAAAGTTACTAGTGGTTTCAAACCAGCACTACTTTTCACTGGCGAACTCGAAACGCAAATATAACCTATTCTGGAGGCCAGGCCACCAGACCAAAATGGCTGGCGGCACAAGCCCCCCCCCCCCCCCCCCCACAAAAAAAAAAAAAAAAAAAAGTTGCAGCGGCACTTCGGCAAAGCGTGGTGTGCGGTTCTTTTCCGCCTCGGCAAAAGGAGGCTCGGAGGTAGTGATGGTTTAAACCCCTGGCACCATTTCCTCGAACCTTTTTTTCTTTTTTTTGAAAAACAAAAGCTCCATCTATTGGTGGGGAGCGTCACCTGCTGGAAACCGGGTCCAGCGTCCCAGAAAAAAGATATCTGTGGGTTCTGCCAGCATTGATTACCCTGCTACCCAGGGGATTGACCGAGCAGGCTAACAAAAAGGACCTCTTCGCCCTCAGGAGGAGGGCGCCAGAAAAACAGTACAAACTGGAACTATTTTAGCCTTGGTTCTACTCACTGCAGACTGCTCAGAAAACCTCAAGACTACCTGCTCAAAACAGACTAGTCTTGCTTCCCTCAGGTAACAGACAGGTAACAGACAAAAGTTTAACGCCAAACTATCAGCTAATTGGTAGCGGGAATAGGACTCCCCGGGGGGCACCAGGAAGGAGTTCTTCCGTACTCAGGAAGGGATTTCTGAGAGGGAGAGGACATGGGGCGGGAAAGGATCAGGAAAGTCCGAGGGGGGCGAAATGGGAATGAGGGCTCTATGTGTGTCCAATCCTTGAAGATTAGACGATAGTCTCTTATTTCATCCAAAACCTGTTTTCCTTCTCCCTTATCTCCACTCCATTCCACTTTTGCGATCCAACCTTCTCTCTCCCCGCCTACCCATTCTGTACAAAAGGCTGAAATCTGTCTCCTAACATCACCTCTTTGCTTAAAGACATCTAACTGTGCTTTTGTGTCCAGCCACCTCTGTGTGAGTTCAAAGTGCATTTGTTGTTGTGTGCGCTCACTGGTATATGCGCCAAGAGCACTTGGCTTTGGGACTGGGACAGTTACCGTAGTGAAAGCGGCAGGCTTTGGGACTGGGACAGTAGTGCAAGCGGCCGGACACTCTTGCGAAAGATGCAGTTGCAGGGTCGTGAGCCTTGGACGCTAGCTTCGACAACTTAGGCTCGTGTGAACTGGTGGTGGTTTAGCTTTTTTATTTCTTCGAGTTTGTCATCGGAACTCTGCATGAATGGCACATTTTGGACCAGGTGCATGATGTAATCAGTTTTTTGGGGGGGAGTTTTGTGACATTTGGCTCTGAAATTAATTGCCATGGTTGATCTCAGTTGCCCAATGTGGAAGCAGTCAATTGCCTTTTTCCCAGTCCAAACTGAAAAAAAAAGGTCATTTAGCTTCATTGACATACACTCATTCTGGACTTTTGGGGTGGGTAATACTACTTCTGCACTAGTGCCTTTGGGTTTTCTTATAAATGGGCATGACAAATTGTCTGAAAATTTAGGCCTCTGTTAAACCGCCAGTACGCGGCCGCAGGCGCGTTCAAAATTTTCATGGCTCACTCCTAAAATCTCGGAGGCTCGGGGCTACCGGACCACAAAGTCCAGCGGCGCCAGCTGAAAAAGAGAAGAAGTGCGCTGCTGTCGGTTCGGCAAATCTTGTCGCGCAGTGCGTATCCTCCAGCCAAAAAAGGAAAGAAGTGCGCCGCTGTTGGTTCTTAACCATCTATAAATAAATGTATAGAATCTTCCTCCATGCCAGTACTACCGTCTTCACCCGAATAGAACGCCTGGTCATTATTGCTGTATCTAGTCTGAAAATTGCACCTTATACAACTATAATGGCCAGTCGTTCTGTGGCATTCTCAGTTCCACACGGGCCCCGCAGGGCCTGACAGTAGGGTTAGGGGTTTTGTAGGGTTTAGGGTCTGTGTCACCCGTAGGACCCATTAGGCCACTACCTCGTTTTGCCATCTTCTCACCAGCCTGAGGTTCCTACTTTGGCATCGGCCAGACCTCTTGCATTTGGGCGCTAGACTTTTCGTATTTTCGCCTGGTTCCTACTTTTGCCATCTTTCGCCATTTGGGCGCCAGACTTTTCGTATTTTCGCCTGGTCCCTACTTTTTGCCATTTTTCGTTTTTGGGGCCAGAACAGACTCCTGTTCTTGGCGCCAGACCAGTTTTCCTTTCGACTAGACTGTTTCGTTTCAGCCTAGGACACTAGGCCCAGCGTCATATATAGCTCGGCCGACCTCATTCTCGGCAGGTAGTTCTTCAGGCAGTTCACTGAGGTAGTGCTAGGCGCTAGGCGCTTCTCAGTGGTAGCTCTGAGGTAGTAGTGAGTAGTCTTGAGTAGTCGACGCGCTGGGCGTGAGCTAGGAGTTGGAGCACTGTCTGTGCACTACACACACACACACACGCACACACACACACAGAGAAGAGAGAGAGAGAGAGAGAGAGAGAGAGAGAGAGAGAGAGAGAGAGAGAGAGAGAGAGAGAGAGAGAGAGAGA